AGTAGTAGTAGTAGTAGTAGTAGTAGTAGTAGTAGTAGTAGTAGTAGTAGTAGTAGTAGCAGTAGGAGGAGGAGGAGGAGGAGGAGGAGGAGGAGGAGAAGGGAGGAGGAGGGAGACGAGGAGGAGGAGGAGGATCAGCAGCAGGACCAGGAAGGAAGGAGGCCTGCAAGGCTCTCGACTTCATCAAGTCGAAAACGAGCACGGCCTCTGGACGCACGTACGGCAGCGTCCCCACCTCCGCGCGGTAGCGCTCCAGGTTGCCGCGCTGTGGGATTTGTTTTCTGGTTTCAAGCGGGGTTGGTTGCGGTTTCACCGCGTTTGTTTTCTGTTGGGCTTCTTATGTTTGGGCGGTGGGGGGTCGCGACCCTCGTCTCACTTACAGGTTAGCCATGTGGCGTCCTGCTTGTCAGTGAGCGTGTCCTCGCTGTGGTGCGGCAGCGACGGGTCCAGCACTGCCCTGATGTTCTGCTGCTTGAGGTAGAGCTTGGTCGCGTCGACTGGGCCAGCTGAGAACTCGCTGGCGCGGCGACCGCAGATGAACATCCTTGCTCGATGTCGATCCCTCGATCCACCCGATTGCCCGCAAGTGGGAATCTCCGCAGGTTCGGGCATGCATCACTGGCTGTGGCCGCTGCGTATACTTACAGCGGTACGCCAATGATGCATGATGAACCTCCTGGATCTCACTTCAACGAAACCGAGTTTGCTCCGCGATCAAACGCTGGCCCCGCGACAAGTCCGACAAGCGTCGGATTTGCCACGGGGCCCGCGTGGTCGAGGAGGAGAAACGTCAGCAGCGGCATCGGGGGATAGGGGGATTTTGACCTTGGAGCGTGTTTCACCAGCTGTGTCCTCTCCCTGCGCAGCGGCACGCCGTGGTTGAGAGAGTCAACGACCCAGGTGTGCAGCGTCCACGCGTTGCCGAGCTCGTCCTTCAACCACTCAGTCACCTCCGAGGCAGGGTCTCTCGACCGGCCTGGAGGCTTATCACGCATGCCAGACAATGCCTCTATCACGAAGAAGGAGAAACGGTCAGAGCGGCCTGCACAGGATCGTATCGCCATCAGCACCTGCATGAACGGTTCTGCGCGAACATCTTTCCACCCTTGGCCCCGACCACTACGGCTCCACGATGGCGGCCCACTCACCAAACCGTCAACCTCGGGCAGCGAGTTCGGGTTGACCTTCGCGAAGTCACCACTCTCGCCGATGTAGGCGCGCGAGGCACCCGTGTGAAGGCGTTCGGCATGTTGCTCGAACCTCCTGTCCGCGTCGTAGGAGATTGCAGTCACGGGAACGCCCAGTTCACGAAGAGCAATCACGGGCGTGCTCAGCCCACTACATGGGCAAAGAATTGTCAGACCTCGAATTGCACCATTTAGAATCTCAGTGCCAAGCGCTTGCCATGTGCAGTCCCGTTCTGTGAGAGCACCCCTAGCACCCCTCGAGGGCTGTCGTTTGGGAGCCATGCTTCCTTCGAAGCGAATGCCGACCAGAGCCGAAAAAAAAAACAGGAGGCGGTGGGTGACGAGGGGGCGGGCAGCAGCAGCAGCAGCACCATCCTATGGGGGTGGGTGTTTTCGTGCGTATCCTTGTTTTCGTAGTTCCCTCTTCCTCGCCCTCCCTCTCCCCCCTCGCCCTCCGCCCTCCTCCTCCTCCTCCTCCGCCTCCTCCTCCTCGCGGGCCCGCGGGGCCCTTCTGTTTCCATTTATCGGACGTCAGCGAACACAGCGTGCCCCTCTACCGTTGGCAGCAGGCGGACCTTCTGGAAAATCCTGGTCTCCCATTGTGCCCTGTGGCACGTTTGGGCGATGGTTGAAATCACAGCGTTCAGGGATTCGTCTGTGAAGCAGCTGAACCAACGCGGGTTGCCAGTAAGCCGAATGCCGATTGTCAAGTGGACCCACATATGGTGTTTGGGGACCAGGAGAACCCCTGCAGATTTAGCAACGGTTATGTGCCTCAGGCATAAGTCCAAGAGGGTCTGGCAAACATCCACAGGCACCGATTTTGGGGAACCCCTTAACAACCTCATGTATTCGACCAGCGTGTCCCCTGCGATCTTCAAAAAACGACCGTTGGGCAGCTCCGCCTCGTACCGTTGGCAGAAGTCGAAAGCCCAGCCCACCAGCACACCAGTCTCGTGAGCCTTCGTTTTGAGCTCCCTGGACTTGTTGGTCCCAATCAGGCCTACTAGCGTTGATATTCGATCACTGTGGTCAATGTTGTTAGCAGCGTACCATTGTCTCATGTCGGCGTGAAGCCGAGTTGTAGAATAAGCGACCCGAGCCATCAACCCGTCGATTCGGAACAAGTTTCCATCGATCGATGCCCATATTACTCGCGATACAAACTGTGCCATCACACCAAGGTATAGTGTGTGCAGGGTGTCCACCCTGATGCTGCTCTGAGGTGCAACGCCTACTTCGGGAGAAAAAATTGGGTTTCTCCTGAGCACTCTATCATCCAGACGTGTGTGCAATCTGTGGGTCCTCCAGAACGTAACCTCCAACGGCAAGGGAGCCTGTTCAAAACAACTGATATTTTGCAGGGCATCGCTGGGTTCCAATCGGTCCCATTTTTTCAGCCCCAGTTCGGGAACGTCAGCCGTTAGGATCCTGCCCCTTTCCTTCCTCTTATCGAAGCGAAGCCCCCCTTCGACGAGAATCTTGTTTCGTATAGCTTGAACGTTAACCGCAACGCGGATCTCACATCTCTGGCAATCCTTGTCGTAAGAATCAGCTGGGAGATCACCCCAGCCGTGGCCATGCAGTGTTATGTTGGATAGGTCGAATCCACGTCCCCCCGCTTGTGGACTACGGCGTGTGATCTGTAAAACAACTCCCCTCACTTTCTCTCTCGCCTCCCCTCCCCTCCCTCCTTCCCCTCCCCTCCTCCTCCCCTCCCCTCCTTCCCTCCCATCCTTCCCTCCCCTCCTTCCTCCCCCTCCCTCCCTCCCCTCACCCCGCCCTCCTCTCCCCGTCTCGGCTCCATCATTGCGGGCTTAATTGGTCTCTCGAGGCCCCCAAGTCCGAGACACCCCAGAGCGGCGGCAACTCGAGGGGCCGTATATGAATAATTCGGTTTTCTTTGATCGGCAAAACAAGCAGGGATGGTAGTACGCAGACCACGTCGGCATTCCGAAGGTCGTGCAATGTTCGGACCAGTCACCGCGTATATCAACCAATACAAATCGTGCTGGGAGGTTCGGTGAACATACATATTTGTTTCCCAAGGGATCGTCTTCCCCCCAATCTGTTCCGTCCCATTTTTTCCGAGGTCTGGTTCCTTCTGCTAGACTTGCCAGGGCCCATGCAAGAAACTTGAAAACGACAAACAAACTGCACCACCCTCGGCATCCGCATTTGCAGGTTTCCCGCTTGGAAATAGTACCCACTAGATGGCGTTTATTCGAGGCAAGGTTGTGCAATGTGATGTTGTACAACGAATCGTATTTCCCAGCCCCAATTGCTTTTGTGTACCGCACCCCGTCAATGTAAAGTGCCAGGGGGAAACACTCTCGATCGTCGTCTTGTTTGTGCCGATGGGGGTGGTCATGAAAGGTGGCGTGCCAATCCTGATCCCTAAACGACGTTGACATTAATCCAGCCTCATTCTCATATTCGCTAGCAAGACACTCGTGACAGGCAGCAAGCTGCAACGATTTCTCCTGGAGGAACAAATGATCTCAAAGAGGGGGGACATGGGAAGCAACAGGCCAACAACTCGATTGCTGGACTTGGTCAGCCAGTCGTTTCCCGACCTCGATCGGAGAAAAATGCAGACCAGCCAACCAGATTCAGCGATTGAGTTGAAGGCCCTGCGCTCATAAGAAACAGCCCCCCATTGACAGACACCGATATCCTGGCGCCGACCTTTGATCCACATGGGGGCAGGCACATCACAAGTCAGTATCTTCGAAGTCTCGGGCAACAGTGTCTCCAAATGGCGCTCAAAATTGCCATCGTTAGTCTCTGATATATATCCAATGCTGCGCAGCCGCACACCCTCGGAACCAGCGTCGCTGGCCAACTTGCATATCGTGCACAAATCTTTCGCACTAAGGTGCCCATGAGCGTACTTTGACAGAAGAAGATCTGCTAACTTGTCTCCTGCCTTCTCCTGTGTCGCTCTAACCCCGCTGTCTGGCCTCTCCCAGCTGGCTGAACTCACCCCGTGGGACTCCCAGCTGTGAGTTCGAACGGGGCGATCGCTGACATCAGATGTGCGCGGGCGCTTGGGTCGCATTCTGAACAGAAATACTCACCTTGAGCCAGCAAGCAGTCTACGTTTTGGCGCTTTCGAAGGCTTTCTGGAAGCCCCAACATGGATTTCTGGGCTTTCTCGAAGCCCTAAACCTGGATTTTGGAGATCACCAGAGGATCACCGGAGGATCACCGGAGGATCACCGGAGGATCACCGGAGGATCACCGGTGACTTTATGTGTGTTTTTACAGGGTCCGAGGGGGGGGTCACTGGAGGATCACTGGGGGATCACTGGAAGATCACTGGAAGATCACTGGGGGGTCGCTGGGGGATCGCTAGGTGCTCTTTCGGGTCATTAGAGGTCCTTGGAGGCTCATTAGAAGCTCATTGTGGGCTCATTGGAGGCTCACTGGAAGCTCACTGGAAGCTCACGGCCCATCACGATTCTGAAATCCAACTCGCAGAGGGTAAATGTCGGAAGACGGGGGTTGAGGAGGAGGAACATGGAGATAGGAGGCAGATCCGAGGGTAAGCGGAGGATCCGAGGAGGAGGAGGCGAGGGAGGAGGAGGAGGAGGGAACGGAGGAGGATATGACGACGAGTTCTCATGCTCGCGACCTGCAATGGTCTAGCTGAAATCCCAAACCCCGTAGCTGGGCCGCCGCGTACTCTCCAGGATTTCGCTTCGAACCCGTCCTGGAGTTATCGTGGGCAGCCCAAGCTCTGAAAAGCTGCCCCTGTGGCTGCGCATGCAGCCATGCAGCGCTGCAGCGCTGCCCCGCGCCTGCCACGAACTACATGCTGGCCGCGAGCTCCTGCATCTTGTTGATGTTGGCCACCTTCTCAGCGAGCTTCGTGATCTCCTCCGACTTCTGGTTGCACGAGTCGAAGTACTCCTGAATCGTGTGGGACTCAGTGTCGCTGAAGAGGACGCACTGGAACACCTTGTCGGCCATGGCGTCGGTCTCCAGCTGCTCGAGGTCCTTCTGCAACGAGCCCTGGAAATGCTTGACGCTTGCCCAGTTCGGCTCATTCTCGATCTTCCGCAAGAGCGACCTGACTTAAGATCGATCGAGGGCGGGCCATGACTGATGGTCTGATCAGACCATCAGTCATGGTCCGCCCTCGATCGATCGTGCTCGAACACGATCGGCTGAAGTCTCTCATGGATCGGATCGTCGGGATCCGATCGGATCGGATCGTCGGGAACGTCGAGCACGACGGGCCATGGATCGGATCGTCGGGATCCGATCGGATCAGGTCGGGATCGGGATCGGATCGGGTAAGGATCGGGATCAGTCTGTTTCAAATGATCTGGGCATGGGGCTTGATCTGCAGGGTGGTGTTCGAGTACAGGTTGATCGTGTTCTGGATGGTCGTCTTCATGGATTTCTCGGAGACGGCGCCGCCCTTCTTATTATTGTGCTTGCCGCCCTTGCCCTTGCCCTTCGGCTTCTTGGTCATCTGGGCGGGCGTCTCGTCAAGCGCCTTCTTGCGGCCCTGGCCAGTCGGCGATGGCGTGACGATGACAGGCGTTGGTGGCGCTGCTGGTGGCTCTGCTGGCGGCGCTGCTGGCGGCGTCGGCAGACTCCCCGCCGATCCCGACGCGCCAGAGCTGCAGGCGCCAGAGCTGGAGGCGCCCGTGCCCGTCGAGGTCTCGACCCTGGCCTTCTTCACCTCCTGCTTCTCGAGCTGCTCCGTCTCCCACCTCTTGGCGTGGTCGATCCTGTTCTGCTTCTTGTTGTGGCGAAACTCGAGGCGGCCGCTGTCCTCGTTGAGCTCGCAATGAGGAGGGCCTCGCTTGATGCAGGACATGGCGATGTTGATCGCGCCCTGCACGGCTGCAGGGCGGTCGTGTCCCCCTTCTGCTACTATGAGAGCGTCCAGGTTGAGGAGCGTCCCTATCGAGCTGTCCAGCTCGGTCCTCGACTTCACGAGCCTGCGCGTCTTCTCGTAGTCATGCCACTTGCCCTCAGCCCACTCCTGCCTCATGGACTTCTTCTTGTCGTTGCCAGCTTTCGAGTACTCGTCCTGCTTATCCTGCGACCAGTGCGATGCGATGTACAGGCCAAAGCGGCTACCCATGGCCGACCTCTTGTTGAACACGAAGCCGTTGTTGGCGCACTCCTCCAGCACCGCGTCGTAAGGCGGGGTGTCCCTCGTCGGCCACTCCGAGGGCTTCTCGCCCCACTTCTGCCGCGCCGCCAGGAACGCCTCCATGAGCGCCTATAGGACACGAGAATGTGAAGGGGGGAGGCAGGTGGATGAGGAAGAGAAGGATACACGCCTTCTCGGAGTCCACGCTACTCTGCAGCTGGCCCGTCGGATCGCGAACCCTCTGCACCTCCTGCTCGAACAAGTGCTGAAGGTTGGCACCCTGAATGACGTACGGCTTCTTGTCCTCCTCGATGTCGATGTCGCGGTCCTGCAGTAAGCCATCTGCAGCGTCGCCAGCAGCTGCGTCTGCGCCACCCTGCTCATGGGGGGCGACTTGCTGACCATCCTGCGGCTCGGCCATGTTCTGCTCTTGCCGGGTGCGCTGCGATGCTTCATAGCGCTCGACCTCTGCCACCGCCTCGCGCGCCTCTGCCTCCTTCACGTCCTTCACGGCCTGCTCCACCGCTGCCTTCTCGTCGGCCTCGTCGTCAGTCTCGCCCTCGGCTGGCGGCTCGAGTCCAAGCTGCGAGGCCGTCGGCGGGGGCTGCGCGCTGCCCGAGTGCTCCGAGTAGTCCACCTGCGTCTCATGCTGCGTGGGCGGCAAGGGCTGCGGCTGCAGCGGCACATCGGGGACCGCGGGCTCAGCCTGCGAGGGAACCAGGAGACGCAATGGGGGGCAAGGACGGGCGACGACGTGAGACCGACGACGATGCCTCGAGGTCGAAAACCTCGAGGTCGATCGTCCGACCTCCCCCCCCCCTCAAAAAAAAACATCAGACCACCCATGAGGTCTCCGTATGAACGCACGTTCAGTTAAGCCGAATTGCTCGACCCAAGCTCCCATGAGTTAGAGACGAGCGACTGTGAGAATTCTTGGCTAGGATCGACCGCCTGACCAACGGACTCGCCACTGCTGAGCACGCTCTCGACCTCCATCGCGCGGGGACTGCGTGCTGGGGGCGCCGTGGATATGGCAGAGAACCTCGCCTCAAGCCTTCGGATCTCGTCCCGAAGCATCGGACTATCCTCGGGCCTGCGTTGCTGCGGTACTTGGCATGGTTTCTACTCCCAAACAAAAACTGACGATGACCAGGGGGTGGAATGGGGGGCCCATTGAGGAAGAGGGGGAAGAGGAGGAGGATGAGGTGGGAGAGGAGGATGAGGAGCACGAGGAGGATGGGAAGTATCATGAGGAGGAGGAGGAGGAGGAGGGGGAGGAGGAGGAAGCGAATGATACGAGCTCGGCCTTGTATATGTTGCTCCCCCTCCTCGCCCTGCACTCCTGCCCATCCGGCCTCGAGGCCCTCCTGAGGAGGAGGAGGAGGAGGATAAATAGGAGGGCGAGGGCCGTCTATCCTCTCATCGGCGCTAGTCGTCGGACGGTGGAGGCGACTCGATGCGAGGGCCGCCCGATGCGTGCATCACGGGCGATGACGGTGCTGCCCTGGCGGACGGAGGTGTCCTCGGAGTTGTTGCAGCCGCTGGAGCAGCCGACGGCGAAGCTGCAGCTGGATGCGGCGGAGCAGCCGCTGGAGTTGACGCTGCTGGCCTCTTCTTCGCCACGGGTGTCGTCGCCGCCGCCGCAGCCGCTGCAGGTCTCTTCCTGACCGCCGTGGTGTTGCCGACGGCCTCGATCTTCGCCTGCTTGATGGCGTTCTCGTCGATCTCGCCGCGGCTGTACTTCGCAGCGAGGTTCTGCACGAACAGGAAGGCCTCCTGTTCAGTCCCCAGCAAGGTCACCAAGATGTGGATGACCGCCTTGCCGTCAATGGCCACGCGAGCAAGGCGCACTGACTCGCCCTGCCTCTTGTCCCACCTGAGGTCTGCCACCACCTCCACTCCGCCCGTCGCGTAGGCCCTGAAGGTGCCGAACTTGCCCGACGGCTTCTTCTGCACCTTCTCCTCGTCGTGCTCGGCGGCCTTGTCCTTGCCGCCAGTGGCTCGCCAATGGGCAACCGTGAGTTGCGGGACTGGCCGCTCCTCATCGGACCACAAGGCGAGCATCTGGTCCTCGGGCTCGGCGTTCGGCGGCTCCTTCAACTTGCCGTAGTCCAGCTCCGACTTGGGCGTCATCTTCCTCCAGGGCTGCTCGGTGACCGCGTCGTACCCGTACGCGGCGCATCCTCTGGAACAGAAGTTGCGAAAAACAGGAGGAGGAGGAGGAGGAGGAGGAGGAGGAGGAGGGGGAGGAGGAGGAGGAGGAGGAGGAGGGGAGAAGGAGGAGGGGGAGGGAAGCAGAGGAGGAGGAGGAGGAGGAGGAGGAGGAGGAGGAGGAGCATGGAGAGGATCAGGGAGAGGGAGGAGAGGAGGATGAAGAAGGTTGGATGGGGGAGGGAGGAGTGAAGGATAGTGCCGAGGAGTCTGAGCAGAATCCTGCCATCTAAACTGGGGGCCGCTGGAGGATCACTGGGTGATCACTGGGGGGTCACTGGATGATCACTGGGGCGTCGCTGGGACATTCGCCAGCGGCCCCTGAGATCCCCCCCCAAACGATTTGCCAATGATTCGTCAGCGCCCACCTTATAAGAGCCCCTCGGGGTTCCTGCAGGCTTGTGGGTGACCAGCGCCGCGGGCTTCTTGCACACGGGGGGCTGCGGCTCGTCCTCGTCGTCGTCGTCGTCAGGGTCCACGACCTCGTCCACCTCGGGGTCCTCCTCCTCGCCGCCCTCGCACTCCTCGTAGTCGTGAGCGCCCTCAGCGCAGTTGCGCTTGATCCACCAGCTCGGAGCCTTCGAGCCCTTCCTGGGACGATGCGTCGGATGCCACTTCTCATGGAGGCGGCGGCTCGCTACCAATCGACCCCCCCCCCCCCCAGCCGCTCGCTCCTCGCGGAGGCGGCCGGGGCAGGAGGCGAAAGGTCACGAGCCGCACCCTTTCAAGACTAAGTAGTTTCCCCGCATCGTCCCTTTCAAGTCTCGCGCGTGCCCCAGAAGCGCCCGAAGCCGATTGCCCATCGTCCTGAGCCAGTCGACGAGCTCAGCCTCGCTGAGCTTGAAATCTGACTTCTTGGCAATGATCCCCAAAGCCTTCACGGGATCCGAGGACCTCCGCGACGGGGGGCGGGTGAGGGACGGGGGGTCTCTCCCTCACGCGCCCCGCGCCACTCAGATCCAGGGGTCCCGTCGGGCCTCAGTCACGCAGCTGGGCTTGATGCTGAAGTTGTCAACCAGCTCCTCAACGTGCTTGAGCAAAGCCTCCGAAAGCTCGCTTTCCCTGCTGCTCCATGCTGTTGCTCCTCTCCTCTCCTCCGTCTCCTCCTCCTCGTCCTCCTCGTCCTCCTCGTCGTCGTCCTCCTCCTCTGATCCTCCAGGGTCCTCCTCCTCCTCCTCCTCCTCCTCCTCCTCCTCCTCCTCAACTCCCCCTCCACCGCTGCTGTTGCTGCTCCTATCCTCCACCTCCTTTCCTCTCGTCGTCGCTATCAGCCTTCTTCTCTAAGATCGTCTCCTTGTTGTACTTCGCGTCCTGGGACTCAGCGTACTTCAGGAAGTTCACCTGGGATCGGCGGCTCATCCTCCTGCTTCTCTTCCTCCCTCCCTCCTCCTCCTCCTCCTCCTCCTCCTCCTCCTCCTCCTCCTCCTCCTCCTCCTCCGCCTCCTCCTCCTCCTCCTCATCCTCCTCCTCCTCCTCCCTCATCCTCCTCCTCCTCCTCCTCCTCCTCCTCCTCCTCCTCCTTCTTCTCCTAGTCCCTCCTCCCCCTCCTCCTGATCCTTCCTTCTTCCTGAGCTCCTCCTCCTCCTCCTCCTCCTCCTTAAGAGTGGGTTTCGCAACGCCGCTGACCTTCCGAACATGGCCAGCCAGCACCCCTGCGAGCGCGTTCGCATCAGCGAAGCGCGGGCCTGGCTTCGGCGCCATCCTGAAAAACCGCTCGAGCAGGTCCAGCGGCGCAGGGAGAAACGCAACGAACGCCAGGAACAGACAACGTGACCACCTCCTCCTCCTCCTCCTTCCTCCTGCTCCCCCTCCTCCTCCTTATCTCTTGTTATTTAGGCTGCAACAGCGGACAAGTCACGATCAAAAAGGAATTCGTGAGCGAAAAGGAATAACGTGCATGAAAAGGAAAAACGTGGTTGAAAAGGAAAAACATCGAATTCCTTAAAAAAAGGAAAAAGGAGCCTCAGGGCCAGCACCACGACCCCGGGACCCGTCCAGCCGTCCCGCCTGCGACCTAAAGCGTCGGCGCGGGATGAAGTCCGGGAGAAGTGCCTCCAGATGAAGACCCACTGGCCCGGGGTGAAGGTTCTGGCCCCCGGGACCTTGGCCCTCGAGGCACGGCTGATCTTCTCGCGGGACGTGGTCTCCATCGCGAGCCGCCTAGCGGCCGCCCTGACCTCCTGGGCCCTAGAGAACTCGGCTCCCGCCTCATCTTGCTCTGAGGCAGGCCGGAGGGCGTCCTGCCACCCCGGCAACCCCTTGTGGTCGTCGGACAGGATATCATGGGGTAGCCTGGGGTTCTCTCCGAAAACCAGCTGAAGGGGGGAGAAGCCCCCTCGATGCCAGTATCTATTTTTGTGAGCCACCAGCTCGGCCACCAGATCATCGAGCTCCTGGAGGTCTCCGGGGAGCGAGGAGCCTGCGTCAATCTCGGCCTTCACACGCTCCTTCACCCAACCCCCATGCCGATCGACCGTGCCGTTCTGCCAGGGGGAATCGGCGTCGCACACGTGCTGGCAGATCCCCCGCTGCTCCATACCCCGGGCGAACCTGGAGCCAAACTCGAAGCCCCCGTCCGAAATCACAAAGTGGGGAGCCCCGAGCGGTCGAATCCAGGATCGAAGAAACTTGGACCAGACCGAGGCGGACTGGGCATTGGGCACGCGAACGACGACCTGAAGGTTGGATCCGTGATCCACGATGTCCAGGAAGGGGTGGGTGACCCCCTGGAAATCGAAGTAAAACAGGTCGACCCCCACGATATGGTTGAAGCGGAAGGCGCGTGGCATCGCCACCCGGCGGTGCACCCCGGTCCTGGCCCTCTCAGCGCACTCCGAGCTTTACACCCCTTCCCCACCCACCGGAGGAGATGCCTCTTGGTTACCCCGGCCCGAAGCACCCTGATGAACTTGCGGGTGTCTGGGTGGCCCATGTTGACGTGAAGCTTGTACAGGAGTCCCTTCTCCTCCTCCAGGGGCTCGGGCTCCTCGGGACCCTGGCCCGTCTGGGCCTTGGCGTTCGGTCCCCTAGTTTCCGGCTCGTCACCGCTGTCCTCATCGGACCCTGCTTCCGCTGCGTCCTCGCCGTCCGCCGCTCCGCCTTCCCCCGAAAACGCTCCCTCCGAGAGCTCGGCCCACGAGGGTCGGAGATGTCTCGATGCCCCACTCCACTGCTCCGCCACAGCTCTCGCCACCCACGAGCTGAACGAACTGTGGCGGGTAGCGTGACGCCTTAGTGGTGACTGAGCCTCCCTCCAGCACCGCGTGCTGGTGATCTCCTGAGCACAGCTTACCCTCAAGCAGCCTAAGGAGGTGGGGATGGTTTGACATGATTCCGGTGGGTTTCTTGTTCAGGCCAAGATCATCGACCCTCATGCCAAACCTGCACATGTCGATCCTCAACCTTTTGACCCCAGGGAGCCCTAGAACCGTTCGCACCACCTCGGTGGCCCAGGAAGACGCGTGCAGGGGATGCTCAAAAGCGAAGAAGCGGCCCCGAGACACCTGGTGGTCCGCGATCTCCATACAGAAGATAAGATCGCTGAGGCCGTCCCTCACTAACCGATGCCAATCGCCGGGAGCCATCCGATCGCGATTCAGCTGATTGATAGCCGAAAACGCCCGGCATTCGGAACACAGCCAGATCATCTCGGGTTCCTCGAGCCGGATCCTTCTCCAGAGTTCCCCGACGTCCCGACTGCGGGAGGAGTCCCACCCCAGCTTACGATCCCAGCTCGCCTGAGTGCCGACGGGGGCCCCGGCCCTGTCGACTGCCGGAGCTATCCT